AGTCAACTGATCAAAAGTCAATTGTATACTGAAAAGTCAAACTTTGACTTTTTGGTCAAAATCTAATGTCAAAGATCACAATTCATCAAAACATGTTAAAATATGAAACTTATTCATCAAGAAATCAAAAAGTCAAGATTTCATTTTTAAAAAGTCAAAGTTTTCCAACTTAGTAATTTTTTTAAGTGTTTAAAACTTCATGTTTTTTCACAACTTTGAGTAAATTTTTCACCAAGATGCAAGAGGATTCAAAAGAAACTTTCAACATGAAAGTTATAGATCTCAAGTTATTAATTCATAAAGTCATGGTCTTGAAATTGAACACTTAGTGAAATTTTGCCCTAGTTTTGGTCAGGATTTTGACCTAACTTCATGGAACTTTTTCATATAGTTCCAAAGGGAATTTACAAAAGTGATTGAAAGAGGGGTTGTAGAGCACATTACAAGCTTTCTAAAATGTCAAAGAAATCATTGAGATCATTTGTGAACAAGGAGAATCGAAGAGATGAAGTTAGGGTTTTCAAACTTAAATTACAAGCCATTTCATGATGAACAAAAATTCAAATCCAAGCCTAGGCTGCATAATCTTTGCTTTGCAGGACTCAAACTTGTTTGTCACTCCATAATTAAATGTTTACACAATTGATAGAGATTTAATCCAAGCACTTGAGCATTTATCCAAGTTACATTTCCATTTATGGCATAAAGTTGTCATTTCCATTTTGATAAAGCACTACTTTTGCAATTGTCAACTTCTTGAGCTTTGCACTTGTTATTTCTGCACACACAACCCCTATAAATCAAAAGCAACGTGTCTAAAGCCTCTTTGAGCTCAGAACATGCTTGTACAACACATTGAGTTTTGTCCTCTCACTTTTCTTCAAAAGCAAGTCATAGAGCCAAAAGGCTAGAACTTAGAAACCTTGAGTGCATTTGATCTCTAATCTTTTCCATACATATACACAAGTCTATTGCAACATAAGACATGAATGCTAAAACCCCAAAACACTCCCAAGCACTCTGCAACTCAGAATCTGCCTTAACTTGACAGTTTTAAATCTCACATAGCCATCTCCAAATCCACTCGTGCGTATTGAGTTTTAACCATCCAAAAACTTAATATACATCATATCAAAGTGATCCAGACCCCTGTTTCTTTACTGTAACTCTTCCATCACCATCCACCATTTCCAAATTTGAAGCTTGCAACTTGACTTGAGTTGGGAGTTTCAGCCATCCTCAAAGCAAAGTAGGAGTTGGAACACACTCAAGGAGGTCCAGGCAAGCTACAGAAATCATCAGGCCATCATAAAGGTTGCTCAAACTCCATACACGACTCCAGCTGCAATAGGTAAGTTTTCAAACTTCTATCTCTTCATACAGGCATCATTTGATTTTGATTTGTGAAGATAAAATGTAGATACCATTGCCACGAAGCTGTACATATCCATAGTTTGCATTTATATGGCCCGAGCTTAGAGAATTTTAGAGTTGAAGTTTTCTGAAATTTTTAGGTTTTAAATTAGGGCCAGAAAAATTCTCATTCATCTTTGACTGTTAGCTTAAGTTATTTACATGTTTGGATTTGTGGGAAGAAATGACACAACTTTCATGTTTGAACTTATCATTTTTGTTGAGAGATGAAGAACATACAGGTCTTTTGGCTGGAGGTTGAAGACGAAGTGTAATCAAGGTGCATTTTGTATTATATATTTATCGTTTCAGTTATATTAACGGATGTACAACCACCCCAGTGGTAAGGCAGCATGCTGGTAACCTCAAGGTCACGGGTTCAAGACCCAGCGCTGCTTTTCCTTTTCACATTTTTACAGTTTTTTTTTGGATTTTTGCAGCGCTGGGCTCCCCTTTGTTGGGCCTAACCTTTTTTGTTTATTTTACTCCCTGTTTCATTTTCTAACCCCCCTGACCTTCCTTTATTTTTATTTTTCTTTTTTTATTTTACTTTTTCATTATTATTATTATTATTATTATTAATATTATTATTATTATTACTATTATTATTTTCATAAATCATATAAAAATATAAAAAATATTTATTTATTTATTAGTCATACTTATATATTTATTTTCTCTATAAAACAAAAAGATTAAAAAAACACTTTCTTAAATAAATTAATTTCTTTTTTTCTTAAATAATTAATTTTTAGACTTAGGATAAATTAGTATATTATTTTATTTTCTTAGTTAAAATTAATTTAGAACTTAGGTTTATTTTAATTAATTAATCTTTATTTTATTTTCATTAATTTAAAACCTTTTTCATAAAAAACCCTAAAAATCCTTTTCAAATTAATTTCTTTTCTTAATTAGTTTAAGTTAATTTTATTTTATTTTAATTAATCATTTTCTTTAATTAGGTCAAGACAAAACCCCTTTCATAAAAAAAACAACAAAAATCATTTCTTTTTCCATTTATATTCTTGCATTTTATTTTCAATTTTGTACAATATTCAATATGGTTGTAATAGATAATTAGGTTTAATTTTCTTGCAATCCCCATTTGTAAATTTGTACACCCCCTCCCCTAATAATGTAATAGCGTAGTAATTTTTACTTTTTGCAATTTATCGCTTTATATAAATGCTAGTAATTAGGGTTTGTATGAGAAGATAAAATCAACAAGTAGCAAACCCTAATCAAAGACTAAATAAACCATGAAAATCAATACACTTGCACACAAGCACCCCTAGGGTAAAATCCACTTGGTTGCCTTATAAAAATGGCCATATTATGCATGTGAGGTATCTTAGCAAAAACAAGCAAAAATACAAGATCATAGTCCCTCGATGACGCTATCTATGTTGCCTTTTCAAAATGATCTTAGTCCCTAAAGAAAGATGTTAAGATACCTTGCAACATTGCTAATCATGGTTATTTGATGACCCACACCCGTCCCGTTTACATTCAAAGATAAGGTTACTTACCAAATCAATGGTAAGATAACAATGTCAAAGAAAAGAGGAACGAAACATGAGAGACTTTTGAGTAGGTAGATTGTTCCTAGTTGCTTGCTCAATTTCAAAACATCCTTGCTATTTTCAAAACAAACACCAACACTTTCAAAAACATCTTTCAAACTTGAAAACATTTTCAAAAGATCAACATTTTGTATACATTCTTACGAACGATAATTATTACAAAGTTTGCCTAAACGATGTCGCCTTTTCAAAATACTTTCAAAAAACCACACAAAGCACATTTTCAAACAAAAGCAAGTGATCTAGAAAGTAACTAAGAGCCCATGGAAAACCATGGATGAAAATGGTGCTAATACCTTCTATTTTCATAATCTACCCCCGAACTCAAGAAAACATCTCTAAAGGTCTTTCCTGTTCTTTTCAGCCTTTCCTAATTGGATAAAAGAAAAGTCGGTGGCGACTCTTGCTAACCGCAACATTTGCGACAAAACTAAAAACAACCAAGTCAATTCTCCCACCGTATCACACTAAGGAAGGGAGTATAAAATAATAATCCTAAAAAATTTAGAGATTCTAGGTTGTTGACTTGATTCTAGACGAAGGGAAGGTGTTAGGCACCCCTCATCTACCTTGTTCATAAGAATAATAGGTTTAGAAGTTTAAATTTTAGGAAATAGGGTTTTAGTGTTTTATTAGGGGAACTCGCCATAATTTTATTTGTATGCCTACATATCCTCTTATGACGAATCAGAGTCCCAATTCGTAGTTAATTTGAAAGTAATTCTCCTTAATCTTTTTTCTAAAATATCTTGATTTTGATTATGTTAGTAGAAAAAGTTTGTAATTGGTTAGCTATTTTCAATTTAAATTTGATTAAATTTTATGGTATGACACAGAGCGGAGGAAGTCTGATATAGTCCCCTCATCACGTGGCCAGATATTAGCGACATGTCGCTCGCGGATGGTGAATTTGGTGAATTGCGTAGATTTTAATTATTTGATTTTGAATAATAAACCGGTAGACGATGTGTCGACCGATTTAATCACCTGACGATGGACATCCTATTATTTATAGAATGTTTGAATTAATTAATTTAAAATAATAATAAAAAATAATTAAGTTTATATTTTTATAATTTATTATACAAAATAACACAAACTAATCTAGAAATCTAATAACTAAATTATTAATTAAGGCTAATTAGATGACTTATTTTTTGTGTATTTTTTTTATATTATATATAAGGGCTGAATAAATGAAAATAATTTAATAAAGATTAATTGACTAAACAATATAAACTAAATGGTCAGGAGGTGGATAAACATAAGTATAAAGGCGGGTAAGAATACCCTATGGTCCTAAAGCCCAAATCTAATAAAAGACCATAATTTACATTATAGTTAAATAAGAAAAAAAACAATAAAAGATATTATGTAAAGAGAGAGATCCACCACTGATCGCTACTTACTATTAAATTGGTGAATGTATTTTTCAAACTAACACCAGAACCAATGAAACCGTGACACATGGGTATTATAAAATAAAAACAATTAATAAGTAATTGAAAGAAGGACAGAGACATTCAGTCTAAACCCACTCATTTTTTCCTACCCAAATAAACAGAACAGAGCAAGGGTGAAATAGAGAAGAAGAAAACATTCGTGGGGGTTCATGGCTGCAAAGGGTCAATCAATCAGTGGTGGTCTCCGTGCGTCAGCGGTGTCGTGGTTGTGTAGACCTCCGTGTTGGCGCGGAGGACCCAGTTGTCAGAGTTTTGCTTGAATCGTACGTGTGTGGTGGTGTCTCGTCGAAGATCTTTGCACAATGGTGCGTGGATGTTGTGAGCTGGGTAGCGCTGGTCAGATGATGTGTTGGCCGGTTTTTAGTCTGTGCGTGAGACGGTGGCAGCGGTGAATCCGTCAACGGATCTGGGCTCGCGTGAGAACCATGTTACTATCATGTGGTGGTGATTGCGAACGGTTCCGACAAATTTGATTTTCAGTCTATTCTTCCTTCTTCTTGATTTCTACAAAAACCAAAAACTTTGTACAAATATTGGTTTAGTGTTGTTGTGATTTTCCCAAAAAATAAATTGTTAATATACATGTTATGAATTTTATATGTTGATTTTGTTTAAAATACAATGAAGATGATGATACTTTGAAAAGAAAAAAAAAGGCTCTATTTTGTGTGTGATGGTTTGTGTGGAATGACTTAGTTTTGCTATTGATATAAAAAAGTGACATTAATATGAAGCAAAGAACTAAAAAAATTAAGTTTGAAGGTTTTATGGTTCAAAGTTAACATTTCTGTCAAAACGTGATTTATTTAGAAATACACAGTGTATGTGAATTCATAGTAGATCTGAGAAAACGAAATTTGTGAACATAGAAAATTGGGTGTGGAAAAAATAGGGCTTCTAATAATTGTTAGTATCTTAATATAATTCAAAAAAATGCAACCATTAGGTAATCATCATCTGGTTGAAACAACAAGAAATTTAAAATTAAAAAAGAGTTAAAAATATCAGGGAGGTGCCTCATATGAAATCATCGGTCAAAACCAAAAGATCACTAATAATATTGAAAAGAAAAAAAGAAATTTGCAAATAAAACGTAGTGTATGTGAGAGATTGTGAAATTATTGATGGAAAATTAGGACTAACTAAGGTCCTATTTATAGGCTTAAGATTATGTTAAGAATACTTAACAATTAAGTTACCCCAAAATGTATAAAATCCCAAGCCCGATTTCCAAAAAGGAAAGAAAATAACAAAAAAGAAATAAAAAAATGTTTAAAATGCAACACACAAGATTCATTCCTTACCAACCGTGTTATGTTACTTATTCAAAGTAAAAAGCCAATTGAAAGTATATGAAAGATGTGTAAATATTTGTTATTTTAAAAGTACAAATAATTTGAAATAAATTATTATATTTTTAACTCGACTTGCGAACGAATATTTATAGAACCCCAAAATATTAACATAAATCAAAAGAATTTTATAAAAATATAAGTTTGAAATTAATTTCGACCGTAGTGATAAAAGGAGGGTAAATTTTGGGTATGACACAAACAAACAAAACATTTTCTAGAAGAACTATGAGTGCCTTGATCCCTATTGCACGTATGGTGGTACGTAGGCACAAAGGTTCGTAACCGCAACAGGAACAACTAATAAAAACCTTCTTTTGTATATACCTTTGTATGCATTCCCTTATAGCATTAAGGTTTAGACTTAGATTTTAATATGAAGGTATGAAAAACACAAGAAAGGGGGGGTTTGAATTGGGTTTTTTAAAACAAAACTATTATTTTAAAAATATTCCCCTTTAAGTTAAAATGCTTTTTCCTTCACTCTTGATAATAACAATAAGTAAGAACAGGAAGTAAAGAATAATGTATGTTTATACTAGTTCACTTGAAAATTATCAAGCTAGTCTAGTCCACCCGCCAAGGTGATTTCGCATCACTCAATCGAGGACTTAATTCACTATAACCAAACTGATTACAATTTGCACAAGCTACCTGCAAGTGACTAACAACCTCTAGACTCGCAAACCTTAGACTTCTTAAGGATCCAGACATACCCGATCTCTTAAGGAATATCAACAAATAATCAACATGATTATTACAATGCACAAGCTACCCACAAGTGACTAACAACATCTAAAACTCGCAAGCTCTATACTTCTTAAGGCTACGTGTAACATCCTATTTCTACCCGATGAATAATATTAAAAATCAGAGTTCAACATAAATAGGATGTACATTTTCAACTTAAAATCAAACTTTATTTAATCGAATATAAAACAAATACATAACACTTAACTCGGATGAGCCGATAACAACTTGATTTATTCTTTAACATCAAACAACTTTATATTGATAAGCAGCGGAATCTACATACTCAACTTCATTTCACTTAACATCTTTATTCAACTAAAACAACTTCGAGACAACAGTTACTTCGTGTAAACAACTTAAAGATTCAGCAACAGAAATAAATATCAACAACTAATCATTAAACGTTTATCCTCCCGAGTGCTACGTATCAGAGCAACAACACCGACTCGAACTGACGAGGGTAACAACTATCCTTCTGGATTACCTGCATGTTACCAACAGAGGGCAACATTCAAATAGTAAGGGGTGAGATATCGAACTATATAATTGAATATATGATAATTAATTTATCAGAATCAGTTCATATAAAATCACTACTTCACAACTCATACACAACAACTATTACAACAAAGCATCTACATTGTCATGCCCTTCACAATACATCTTTTCAAAAACCTCACTTGTTTTAATCACAACTTAAATCATCACAATTCACATCATTATTACTTATGCAAGACTCGATGAGACACAAATGTGCAAATGCATGTGGTATCAACAGGGCTCCATCCCCCATCGTCAATTGCCAATTATTAGAGGCATTCAAACAAGGCATCAGCCTTCATCGCTATTTTGCCAATTATTAGAGGCATTCAAACAAGGCATCAGCCTTCATCACTATTTTGTCAATCCAGGTCATCACAAAGTATGCAAATGTATGTGACTCAATGAATGCACCATCACATACTCACAACAATCATCATTCATCGCAAGGCATAAGCCCACATCGCCATTATTACCAGTAAATGGAGATAATTCATCATTGTCTAAAATTATCTGAAACTTCACATTATCAGCAAGAATTCACAGAGAAAATCACAAAAACATAACATCTCAATATTAATCAACATTGGCCATAATCCTACCACATAAATCAATGATTCAACATCAACTCAACATAATTTAACTTTGGCCCTAGGCCTACAACTTGATATTTCAGCAACAACAATTAACACAACATTGACATAAGCCTACAACTTCGTACGTCACAACAATAATATCATATCAACAATTATTAATTTGACAACAACATCAACAAGAAAACAACATTGGCCATAATCCTAACAATTCAATACCACCTAAAATTCATATTTGTTAGCAAAGTATTCAACACACTGTATCGACTAAATATACAATAATTGTTCCGTATAGTTATTCGGGAAAATCGACTAATCCTACTAATTAATTAATTCTCCACTGTTATTTTATTACTAATAACCTTATGTTACTAATTCACATCTTAGTCTCTATCTCACAATAACTTATACAATCCACCGTCTCAACCGTAATATTTTACAAACATTCCGCGTAATTATTCGGACAAACCAACTACATCCGGCTAAATAACCCCCTGTTAAAATTACTATCATTTCTACTCGGTATTATTATTACCAAACCCACATTGCTACTCTTAGTTCATACTATTCCTATTATTTCACCACTCTGCTAATGTACATCAGTTTATAAAAATAATTACTGCAACTATCCTAACTATTTCCAACTCTGTCTTATTACTAAGGCCGTTAAATTATGTTGAAACTACTAAATCAAGATTACTGATATAAAGGCTACTTCTATTAATGTCTTTCTGCTATAGCATACTACTGGTAAGAATGGTTCAGTTTGTTCCCTAACTGCTTTTGTATTAATGAATTCTATACTGATACCATATGAAGATTATATAACATATTGCCACAGAAACAAGTGCCTATGCTCCTAACAATCAGTGTCGAACGGCACCCTTCTTCCATAACAATGCCTAGTGCTGAACGACACTCTTCTCTCTCTCTCTCTCTCTCTCTCTCTCTCTCTCTCTCTCTCTCTCTCTCTCTCTCTCTCTCTCTCTCTCTCTCTCTCTCTCTCTCTCTCTCTCTTTCTCTCTCTCTCTCTCTCTCTCTCTCTCTCTCTCTCTCTCTCTCTCTCTCTCTCTCTCTCTCTCTCAAGGCTGCCGACTGGAAGCACTCACCATTACAAGGTGATGATCGACATTCCTTCCTTCCGTCCAATGACAACATAGCTTGCCGATCATTAATGCCCACCGTATAATTTTCTGCAAATTCCTGTTACCTCTCCAATTTCATTCGATTCACAGACTAACCAACGTATAATACAAGAACATGAAATTTCACCAATAGTTAACACTAATCAATTCCTAACATCAATTGCCACAAACAAACACAAACAATAATAAATTTACACCCTAAATCCCCACATAAAATTTCTCATAAGCCTCATTATAGGATAAGAAAATCCACCCTTACCTTGGATTGGAGATCAATCTATAATTCCGATTGCAACCCACTGCTGCCATAGCTCCAAACCTTCATTCCTCTTCTCTTCTCCATGTACTGCATCCTTTTCTTTTCTCTTTCTCTAAAACCCTTATTCTTCCTTTTCTAAAAAAAACCTAATTCCTTACAATTTTTATTATTAATTCTATTGGGCCTAATATCAACACCCCCACTTTTACTACCACCAACCATTAATTAAGTCCTTATAATAAATATAGTATTATTCCCATACTAATTCTACAACTTAATCAATCAAATAACAACTTAGCAACTTAAATCAATATTTCAACAATAATTCACAACTTCGACAATTAATTCAAAAATAATTCAAAAATATTTAATTAAATATCGGGCGTTACACTACAAACCTATCTGGTCCTTTAAGGAATATCAAACAACAGTTTGAATACAAGTTTTGTTTACAAGAGAATTTCTTCTAAAAATCTGAGTATGTAAACTATTTTATGAACAGTGACTTGAGAATGTGAAAACAATGAACAACATATTCGTGTGAGTATTCATTAGTAAGCTGTTTTCTTTATTAGTCTTCAAGCCTTTATATAGCCATTAACATAATGTATCCATTGAGGGATACTCTTGGAATTTCCAGAAACATTGGCAGCTTTGAACAGTAATGTGGGGGACAAGATCGTGCGACGCGTCCGTCTTTTCATGGTAGTGGAATGAAACATTGATTGAACCATATACTATTTGTACCACGTTAACATTATATTCTTTCCTTCTGCACTTCAGAGGCTTCTACAAGCATGAGTTTGAAGCGGGAACATAAAATCTGGTTATCAGAACTTCAAGTCTTTAGAGTCTTCAGAACTGCATCTTCAGAGTCTTCAGCACTTGGTCGTTAGAACCTTTTCTTGGAATCTTGGGTCTTTAGAACTTCAAGTATTTAGAATCTTTAGACCTTGCGTCTTTTAGAGTCTTCAACACTTGGTCTTCAGAACCGTTATCTTTAGAACTTCATTAATATAAATACAAGCTTTCAGCATCTGGACTTCAGTAGAAACTTTGTGTTCATATCTTCTAACTTTTTT